CAAACAAAAAAAACAATGCAATTCATTCAATTATAACACTTTATGTAAAATAATATTTAATAAACATGTCTATTTGTGTCACTGAACCGTAACAAATATATAGGTGTGTGTTTATTTGTGCGTGTGTGCGTCTGTTTGTGTCAATATCACAATCTTGATGTTTTAGAGTGTCACCCCTTCATTGTTGAGCACTTTTTTTCTGCATCATGGCCAATTTGTAGATTGCAAATTGTAGTTTGAAGTTGTAGATTGTTTTTTTTGTCAATTTCCCATTCATTTCCTATGGTCGGTCATGTTTGACAGAAGAGCAGAAGTGTATCTCATTTTTTTACGACCACTTAAAGTGCTCGAATCATGACCTCAATTTTTTTGTGTGTTCACATACATGTTGCCATAAAAGTCACGAAGCTTCGTAATTTTCTGATGAAGCAGTGATTTTTTTAGAAATTCAAAACAGATTTTTTAATCACAATTTATTGGTGTTTTTGTGTATAAAAGTGTGTGTGTGTGTGTGGGTGGGTATGTCTGTTTTGCACTCTTGATGTTTTAGAGTGTCACCCCTTCAATGCTGAGCACTTTTTTTCTGCATCGTGGCCGATTTGTAGATTGTACACACAAAAATTCTCAAAGTTTTTGTCAATTTCCCATTCATTTCCTATGGTCGGTCATTTTTGACCGAAGAGCACAAGTGTGACTTAGCATGCTCGGATCATGACCTCAATTTTTTTGTGTGTTCACATACCCAATGCCATAAAAGTCACCAAGTTTCGTAACATTGCGATGAAGCTGTGATTTCAAAACATAAATTTTTTCGGTCAGAAATGACCGAAGAGCACCTGAGGGTTAATTCAACTTGTTATTCACTACACTAACATTTACCATATAAGGAGTATTTCACCCAAACATTCCTAGCAATGTTCCATGAAAAGATACAGCAATGAATTCGGGCTGCCCCCTAATAGTCGCTACTACACGAGAAGAGGCTTCGTCAAACAAAATTTTATTAGTCAGTTAATCACAGGGGAAAAAACTCCACAGGAAATAGGTTAATCACCTTGTGGAAATTACAGTATGTCGAATCCAAACGTTCGCCTGTCATCCATGACCTCAAAAACATCCTGGTTAGTCCAATAAAAGTCCATTTTTCAAAGTGGGGAACTATGACATCAAAGAGGATAAAACCCCACCCCCGCAGAAGAACATCAACGCCAACATGGTCGGTTTAGCCCCGCCCACCGATTCGCGCATTACACGCATAGCTAAATAACATAGATGCCTACCTCGTGATGACAAACCGGATCGAGCTACCGAGCAATAAATATGCACTGACGAGTGAAACTCATTATAATATTCAAAACTGTTATCCAATCACAGCAGTGGGCGTTTACTTCCAAGTCTTCAGTGCGAGACGCCCATAAAAATGGAGTGTTTTTGAGCTAGGCTCAAAATTAGGGTAGAAAATAGCTTATTACTTATTCATTTTGATGTTTTTTTCATGTAAAAACCAAGCGAACGTCATAAGTTGACCTCAGACGACAATATTAAAAAATTTAAAAAGCCAGTTCATGACCCCTTTAAAACCAATCAATTCACATCGAACACGAATTATGAAATCCGTATGAAAGGAGATGGTGAGTCGGCGTCGTCAACTTCATCTTTTCAGCCGACACTGACTCAGAATACACTAGTTTATTAATAAATAATTGAAATGTCTCCTTGCTTTTTTTTTTCCGACACATTCATGTTCATGGGCATTCATGGGTATCCCCCCCCCCCCCCCCCCCCCCCCCCCCCAGTATATATTTACGTAATTACATGAATAGAAATGTGAGATTAGTCGACTAATGGCTTAAATGAAGGGCTAGAAATGGGGTCAGCCCTACTCGATTAGCATTTTTTTTATCAGTTATATTCTTTTTAGTTCTTCAAATGACTTTGTAGATCTGTAACTTCAATAATTCATTCATTCATCCACAAAACTGAAGCATGAATGAACTGAATGATTCTGTTATTTGTCAACTCGACTCTTTTGACTCAATTTTTGACTAAATATTTTATTTTAGAAGCAAGTGAATGAACATTGATATCAGTTTTTGTAAAATAAACGTTGATGTTTGTGTATTTTTGATCTAGAGCTCCCAAAGAAACAGAGGAAGAGTTTGAGGAAGACACCTGGATCAGGCATGCTGACGCCGCCAACAACTGAACATGAAGCTATCGCTTCAGCATCGTGTCATTATTGCTCAAGACCGTAAATGCCATCATGATGAGCCGGGCCTAGACAGAGAGCGGGGTTTGTAGATTTTTAAATGACAGCACATTGATAACCAGTTTAAAGAACACTTATGACCATTTAATATGGTGCATTTAATCACCTAAAGAGGAAAGTGTTATTTAAAATAAAATACAAATACACTAACATAGTAAAGCTCTAGCTTATTTTATGATCTGTCTAAAGAATTATTATGTTAATTGCGGATTTCTTGCTTTTTGTTGGTGTGTGAACATTCGAATGAAACTATTCAGATTATGTGAAATTTCAAATTTTTAATTTTAGTATTTTTCGATGGATAATACAGCCATGACATTGGTCTTGTTTCAGCAGGACACACTCTAGCTCAGTGATCTCGCACATGTGATCCTCGTCTGCCTTTGTTTTATCCCGTTCAGTTCTACAGTGTACAGTGTTACGTACATCTACTTTTAGGTTTTTCCATTTTGAGACAACTATTAACTTAATAACTGAACAAAAACAATGTGATAATAAACTTGACAGAAGTTGCTCTCGTTTTCTATGCAGTGGTCGTCGTTTTTCGTTTTCTGTTGCGCTATATTGTGTACTCAAATCCCATTTTGGTTTCTGTTTAAGTCTTTGTACACAAATCAAAAGTGTCAAATGTGTTCTCATTTTTCAGCCCACCGTTTATTTCCTCTTTAATAACAGAAACCAAATCTTTTGAGATAACGACTGTCGCATGCATTTTTGAGTGATGATAAATTGCTTTGGAAATGCCCTAACAATGAGAAAACAAGTTCTCTGAATTTTTTTTTTGTTTGTTTTGAGGCATTCATTTCATATTCCTCCTTCATTGTCCCCAGGGTGGCAGCATAGAGACACATCACTAGTATAATGTTTTGGGTGATTGCCAATTTAAGTAATTCAAAGTTAAATTCATAGTGGAAATTTTATTACCATGAACGTAGGCTTAAAAAAGACATCATAGTATTACCATGAGACAGACTGAATAGGAAAACTGGCCATTTTGTACATGTATTAACAAAACAAAAAAAGGTTGCATGGTTGTCATGCTATACTTGTCAAATTAATGGTTTTATGTAATTACACACATAATGCTCCTTTTGATACCTTTTTGATAATTGACATTAAATCCAAACTTAAATGGTTGTAATTCAAGAATGCTTTGGTCTTGTTTTAAAGAAAACAATCAGCAGATTATTACTGAAGTGAAAGCACTTCAAAAAATTAAACTATGAAAAAGTTATGGAAGTTATAATTTATAGTAAATCAAATATACTTTATTAATATATATATATATATATTAATATAAAATAAATATTTTACAAAATATGGTTTTACTATAAAATGAAATCTATATATCTAACCAAGTTGTGTTCCAAATTTAAAGTTGATATCACAAAAATCGAAGTTCCCATGAGATTTTGTTTAGGCGTTATAGCAAAAATAGCCACCGTGTGCCATTGAATTTAATTGTATGATTTATTAACAAATTAATACATTTCTATCCAAAAATCACTTTCGTCACTAAATGTGGAACCTTGAGACTCAGACCTTTCTGACAATATGTGTTTTGTCAAGATTAGAAAAGGTTTTGATGATCAATTTTGAAAGATGATGCCCAAAAGGGGAGGGGCTTAATAAAAAATACCATTTCTATGGTAACGCAACGTCCAATTTCAAAACGGTTTTCACAGGATGAATTCTGAGTTCGTAAGCTTTCAAATGATACCTAATTTATGATAACTACTAAAATATGTTATATAATAATAATAATAATAATAAACAAATTATATATATATATATAAAATACTTTTTAGAGAACTTCTTTCCTTACTTTTTAATATATAATTTTAGCTTTTTTTATTGACAAATACTAATTATGTTTTATTATTAAATTTTAGCACTAAAAACCAAAGTTTTTAATTATTAAAAGTGTGTGCGTCGACTTTTGTGACAAAGGTCAGAAACTCCTGTAATGATGTCGATTTTTTTTGAGGCGCACTCTTGTCATAAATTCATATATTACTGTTCATTCATAATTTGTAAGAAAAAAACTGTGCTAAAATATATATTTAGGAGTCTTAGACCTTTCCAACGATATATAGTTTCTACCTTTCACAACATTAACTGTTTTGCTAACAAATACAAGAATCCCAGTTGGAAGTAAATAAGCAGACTTCCAGGTTAATTTATTTAGAAGTGCGATACCATCACAAAATACAAAGAAATATATTTTTTAATAAGCATAAAATAAGTTAAGGCTTTAGTTATTTATGTGGACGAAGCAAATGGGAGTCAACCTGTCAAAATAGCGGAATACATTGAAATGCCCTGCAGTAAAACATCTTAAATCCATCTAAACTACTTTAAACAGTGTATTATTATTATTTAGGAAGTGTGTATGACCATATTTGGATTTGTTTTAATCCATTTGTCACATCACTGGTCTATTGAAATGTATAGTGAAATAATAATGAAATTTTACTATATAATTGTATGAAGTTTATTAAAGAGGTTTACACTGTAAAAAAATATTTTCAAGATATCACAACATTTTTTTCTTTTATCAAATCAACTTAAATAATCTATTTAGTTCAGATAACTTATTATTTTGAGTTTCTGATGATTAACTCAATCTCCTTCATTGTATTTACTCACTTTTTCTATTTCAATCAACTTAAAATTTTAAGGTAACCAGGTTACTTAATTTTTTAAGTTAAACCAACAATGTATTATTTTATTTTTTTTACAGTGTAAGGGGGAAAAAACAGTGACCGGTTACAGCATCAAATCCAGCAAGCATGAACTCGTTCCCTTAGACAAATATATAAACTGTAAGCTAAAAAAATGTTGAAAAATAACGTCATTTGTCCAGTGGTCAGCTATACCCAAATATTACACATACCCTTATTACCTATACCTTTGACATATCCCTGAGATTAGAATTTGGACTGCAGAACAGTGACAAGAGAGCGTTTGAGAATAATGAAGTTGTAGGTGTATAGGAAATGTTTGGTGTCCCGAGTGTCAGTGATGATACTGCCTCCTGTCCACAGTCATCCTCCTCATCACGTCGCCGCTGAACTGGTACGTGAGTTTCTTCTTGACCTTTTTGACCTCGCCGGTCTTGCCGTAGTTGCGCAGAGCCCTGGCCATCTTCTGGTAGGTCATTCTCTTGCGGTTGCCCTTCTGCTGACCCCAGCGGCCGGCGAGCGTCTCCTTGTGTTTGGAGGAGAACTGAAAGATGCCTCGTTCTCGGTCCACCCACCAGATGCAGTCCCGCATGTCTCCGTCCTGCAGGAGGTCCAGGAGGAACTGATAGAGACGCACTTTCCGTTTGTTGCCTGTAGAAAATGACTCATTTTAAACTCCGTCTTTGGCTTCCCTTTTGATACGAATTTCTTTTCAAACACAAATTTGAAAGGGATATTGTGGGTTATGGTACACTTTGAGATCTGCAGATAGCATTCGTGAACTGCTGTTAATTACCATATAAATGTGCATACAGTGATGTTTATGGGGAAAGATATTCTGGAGTGTTTAAAGGTAGAAACCTGCTGGTATTTTGGTAATGTTCTTATATTAAAGGGATAGTTCAACCAAAAATCTAAATCCCAAATCTAAAACTGATCCCATGATTTACATACCCTCAATGTATATCTTTCACAGTTGGAGAAATATTTAAAAATCATTGCTCTTCCAAGCTTTTTAATTGGTAGTGGATAGTGTCCTTATTTTGGAGTCTAAAAAAGTGCATCCATCCATCATAAAAGTAATCCATGCGACTCCAGGGGGTTAAAGGAGTAGTTCACTTTAAAAAAAAAAACAACTTTTGCTGATAATTTACTCACCCCCATGTCATCCAAGATATCCATGTCATTCTTTCTTCAGTCGAAAAGAAATTAAGGTTTTTGATGAAAACATTCCAGCATTTTTCTCAATATAATGGACTTCATTGGGAACCAAACTGTTCAAGGTCCAAAAGACAGTTTAAGCCAGACTACGAATAAGGGTCTTATCAAGCGAAACGATCACTCATTTAAAAAAAAAAAAAAAAAAAAACAACAAGTTTTAAGTTTCATACGCACAAATGGTCGCCTAACAAACTCAAGCTCTTCCGACATCTCTCTTTAAAAACTCGCGTTTTAGACTCCTCTGCGTTGGGTCAAAGGTAGCTCATTCGCCATAAATCGATGCGTACGGTCGTCTGCCGGAAGCTAGTTATTTTAGTTAATAAAGTTGTCCATCTGGATATTTTTTTGCACGTTGCTTCGCTTCAGAAGGCCTCCCTGGAGTCGCATGGTTTACTTTTATGATGGATGGATGCACCTTTTTAGACTTCAGAATCAGGACCGCTATTCAATACCATTATGGCCCTGGTCTCGGTCTCGTGGACTTAGATTGCACATGCTCGCCGAGTTTACGAGTCCGTACGCCGTCCCATTTATAGATATCCGCAATAAAGACAAGATGTCTTACGGAAAAGTTTCTATCGTCATCACCGGCGGCCATCTTGTCACAGGCAAGCTTGGTTCTTACAAACGTTATTAACGTGGCTATAATTCTGGATGATTATTTATTTATACGCTTATAATTCATAAGTATGCAGTGTCATCTCTGACGTTTATAACAAACTAAACCTTTTGAAAATCGGTAAAAAAGTGAGAGAGCAAGAGAGCTGCCTGTGACAAGATGGCCGCCAGGTTCGTACGTCGACCTCCATTGGCCAGCAGCGCGGACGAGATATCTAGCATTTATTGTGCATATCTATGGTCCCATTTAGCATTTTAACACTCTGAAGTGTGCTCAGCAGCGCCCCCTTTGTAACCTTGAACCGGTCTTCCGCGAAGCCTGCACTTTACCCAGGAATCCTTGCGAAATCAGAAAACGGATGGGATTTCGCTCTCGTAAACATGGCTGAGAATATTTAAGGATACAATACAATTATACAATTATAGAACTGTAAAAGCAGGCTGTGTAGTTCATATCGACCTTCATTCACATGTTTTCAATGCTAAAGACTGCAATTTTTTTAATGATATTTGTGATTTTTCTAATAAAGAAACTGATGAGATGACCTTTAAGTTTACTCAGCTCCATATGGAGAGTGATAAAGCTTTCACAGGCATGAGGAATGCGCCGGAGCACAAAAATATGATTTTTCTGCATGAAAATACATCTTGCAAAAACAAT